CCTCCTCCTCCTCCACGCTCCTCCTCCGCCTCCACACCCTCCCCCACCTCCCTCCTCCCTCCTCCTCCACCTCATCCACACTCCACCTCCTCTCTCCCTCCTCCTCCTACCTGCCTCCTCCTCCTACCTCCTCCTCCTCCTCCTCCTCCCCTCCTCCTCCTCCTCCTCCTCCCACCTCCTCCCTCTCCAACCCTCCTCCTCCTCCTCCACCTCCTCCTCCTCCCGCCTCCTCCTCCTCCTCCTCTCCTCCTCATCCTCCTCCTCCTCCTCCTCCTCATTCCCACCTCCTCCTCCTCCACCTCCATCCCCCCTCCTTCCTCCTCCTCCTCCACCTCATTCGTCCTTCGTCTTCCTCTTCGTCCTCCTCCTCCTCCTCCTCCTCCTCCTCTCCTCCTCTCCTCCTCGTTTTCTTCTTTTTTCTTACTCCTCCTCCTCCTCCTCCCTCTCTCTCCTCCTCCTCCTCCTCCTCCTCCTCCTCCTCCCCTCTCCTCCTCTCCCTCCTCATCCTCCTCCTCCTCCTCCTCCCTCCTCCTCCTCCTCCTCCCCTCCCCGCCTCCTCACAGCTCCTCCTCCTCCTCCTCCTCCTCCTCCTCCTCCTCCTCCTCCTCCGCCTCCTCCTCCTGCTCTGCTCTCTCCTCCTCCTCCTCCTCCTCCTCTCACGCTCCTCCTCTGCTCCTCCTCCTCCTCCTCCTCCTCCTCCTCCTCCTCCTCTACTCCTCCTCCTCCTCCTCCTCCTCCTCTTCCTCCTCTTCCTGCCTCCTCCTCCACCCTCCTCCTCCTCCTCCTCCTCTCCTCCTCCTCCTCCTCCTCCTCCTGCTCCTGCTCCTGCTCCTCCTCCTCCCCTCCCTGCCCGACTCCATCCCTCCACGTCGCCGCGCCCCTCCGAGGCGACAGCGCTGGCAGCGGCGGGCTCTGGCAGCCACGGCGAACAGAAGGTCCCAGCGGCTGCAGGAATGGCCTCACTGGGCAGCGGCGCCTGCTTTGTTTGGAGTGCAGGAGGGAGCGCAACTCCAAAGCTGTTCACCCGACTCGGCCTCGACCGCTGTGCGAATCGAGAGGTCGCCAGGCAAACCTGGAACACCACACAAGCCGACCTGCGATATGCAAGCTCATGCATTGAACCATGGCCTGAAAGATGAGCGTGCAGCGGCGGCGGCTTTTGTTGCCTCCGAGCTCGGACTGGCCACGAGGGGCAGGGGTTCTTCTCCAAGATCGGCGAATGGTAGGTTCGTGTCGTGACGGCGCTGGCGTTGGTTTCTAACACCACGAGGATCGTTTAACCGTGAACGACCGGCAGCCTTCCGATCGCCAGATCGTTCCACATCGACCAATTCTGGGCCACCGGTGGCCTTCAACCTTGAACGACAGCGGCGGAATTGCCGCAGCGTCGGCACGACGCGAGCCTACCCGAATGGGGGCCGTCTCCTGGCCTTGGGGCCGTCATCAACTGCGCAGAATGAGAAACTGGCCGCCAGGGGAATGGGCCGAGAGAGAGAGAAGGAGATCTCGACGCACGAGATTGGCACGGAAAACATGGGTACGATCCCCAACAGTAAATTGTTGTCCCAAACCAGCAGCGACCGTTGCTGGGCAGGCGGCCCTCTCTGGAATGGACAGCGCCCGCGGTGGCAACGTCAGCTAGTCCTGTTCAAAATGAACAAGAACTGCTGTCGGTGTTCATACCCTTAGCTCGGGCATGTCATCCTACAAGCAGGTGTTGGAGGAAAAATGGTAAATAGTCCAAAATATTATGATAAGTATCCAAAAATACTAAATAGATAATAAATATGTAAATAACTAGTTTTGAATACTTCTCCTGCAGAGGGACAGGCCCGACTTGATCGTACACACTCTTTCTGTACCCCTTTCGATCGTACCGAAGACAGAGGTCCCGGGGCCAGCGACTCCGAACTCTGGCTTCCTTGCGGGGCCACGGCGGCTCTCCGAGCCGATATGTCGAGGCCCTGGGCAGCCAAGGAGGGGCTCGCCGGCCACCCAGCATAGCGGAGGTCGCCAGCAGAACGCCACGAGCTCTGGCCAGACTCTTCGAGCAGGAGATCGACAGCAGATTTGGTGCACCCCAGGAATGAATTGTTCGTCGGATCTGCGAACAAAGACGTAGAATGTTCGTAGATCTACTCTACGCGTTCATTCGCAAACTCGACTCAAGAAATTATAAATGAAGTCTGTGATCGATGTCCTACTCGACATTTGCTTCATGCCTGCGCCCGTCTTCACCGCTATCGCCGTCGCCGCCGCCGCTGTCCCCAGACACCCGGCGCCGTGGGAAGAATGACGGCGTCACGAAAAATACTGCCGAGGGCTCATGGCCCCATCTTGGCGCGGGCCTCTTCCGGCCAAGGATCGATCCGCGAGCGCCCCAGGGCCCGCAAAAGGAGCAGAAGCACCCGCCACACTTTCAGCAGCGCATGGATGTCAGGGCCCTCCCCCGTGGGGAGCGGCCCCCCCAAGGCGCATCCTGGAGCGCACTCTGACCAAGAATTCGAGGCAGATCCAGCCGTGGCAGCCCCGAAAAGCCAAAGACGCGAGAGCGCCCCCCCCCCTTCTCACCCCCCCCTCCTCCCGCCCACGCCTACCGGGCAGGCCCTTCGAGGCGCCTCCGGGCCAGCTGACCCGAGGCGGCGTTCCGACCGCACGGGCGCCTCCCTCGCGCGTCGTGTCTCCATGCCGGCTTGTCTTGCGTCTCCCCGTCGGGCTCGCCTTCCCTCCTCGCTGCTGCCGCCGCTCCCCCGTCTGGATCAAGAGGGTATTGAACTCTTCGCTGGAGTTGCACGCCACCAGGCCTGGACGCGTCGGCCACCGACACTGTCGCTGTCGCGGTCACCCGAGTCTGTGGCCCTGACGAGGGGGCGGCAGCGGCAGTAGCAGTGCCGAAACGCACCCAGAGTTCAAGAAGGCATGAGGGCGCAGGCCCGGCTTAGATGGTTGGTGCTCCGAGAGAGAGGGGCGCCTGGGCTCGGGAGCCAGGAGCGGCTGCAGCACCGCACCACGGTGTGCTGCTGACCGAGCCTGCAGGGTCGGCCCGATCACTGTTTCTATGATTTTCAGCTTTCACTCCGACTTGAGCGTACACCCCGCGAAATGCTTAAGAATTCATGGGTTAAGAAATTCATAGTCTCAGAACTTGAATAAAAACCCTACATTTCCGTTCAAATCTTAGGATTTACATTGAAACGTTAAGAATAATCGAGACTCTGGCCGAAAATTCAAGTTTTCTTAAGCATCGCCTAAGGTGTATGTTCTCTGTGGCGCCCGAGGCCGAGGGCAGCCACCACGCCGCGGAGACTCCGGCGGCGGAGACGAGGAGGCTCCCCAGAGGCCCAAAAACATGTGGGGGAGGAGGAGGAGGAGGAGGAGGAGGAGGAGGAGGAGGAGGAGGAGAAGGAGGATGCACCAGCTCACCCGAGTTGGCTTTCCGCTCGCACGGGTGATTGCCTGTCTCCCCTCCTCATCCTCCTGGTCCTGCCCTTCATGCCCCCCATCCACCTCCTCAAGACCGATCTGGGGCCCGCGACGGGACACGACGCCGCCGACGTCGTCGCCGCCGCCGTCGTCGCGTTGCGCGGCGGGGGAGGAGAAAGACGAGGACGAGGACGAGGAGGAGGAGAATGAGGAGGTTGGAGCGTCGGGGGGGAGAACAAGAAAGAGAAGGAGGATCATAAGGAGGAGGAGGAGGAGGAGGAGGAGGCAAATCCTAAGATGGAGGCGGAGGAGGGAAGGGGGAGGAGGAAGAGGAGGAGGAAAAGGAGGAGGAACAAAAGGGTGTTGGAAGAGGAGAGGGAGGAAAACAAGGGGAAGCAGGAGGAGGAGGAGGAGAAGGGGAGGGAGGGAGGGAGGGAGGGAGGGAGGGAGGGAAGGAGGAGGAGAAGGAGGAGGAGGAGGAGCAGGAGCAGGAGCAGGAGGAGGAAGGTCGCCACCGCCGCCGCCGCCGCGCGGACGGCGGGGGCCGGAGCGGGGCGCCAATGGCTCGGGGGGCGTCTCGTCCAGGCCGACCTCAGCGTGGCTGAAGGGTGACCGGCACGCCGGGCAGTCGACCTGACCGGGTGGCGGGCTCGGTCGGTCGGTCGGTCGGTCGGTCGGTCGGTCGGTCGGTCGGCGGTCGTCGCCGCCGCCGTCGTCGCCGCCGCCGCCGCCGTCGTCGTCGTCGTCGTCGTCGTTGGCGGCGGCGGCGGCGGCGTCGTCGTCGTCGGCGGCGGCGACTGCGGCGCAAAAGGCTCGGCGGGCGGCGGCCCGAGGCACGCGAGGGGGGGGGGCGCGGCGGCGGCCTGGGGCTTGCGCTTCCACCAGTCCAGGTAGGACCGGAGGCACGACCTGCGGGGGTGGGGGACCCAGACCCCTTCGTGCTAAGTCGGGCAAGTCCTCCTACAGGCGGGCTTTGGAAAATACATTCACAAGCTGTCAAAATAAGCACGAAGAATCGCCACCAGACTATGTTTTACTCTTTGGGGATATTCCTCCTGTAGAAGGTCATGTCCGACTTAACCAGACCCCTTCGTGCAGTGAGAAAAAAAGCACGACGGAAGATGCTCTGCTGTTTTCGGCCTCTGGGGGGGGGGGCTCGCCAGGCCCCAGGGCCGCCCCAACAAAAAAGGCGCAGGATGAAACGCCGGTCCTCGGAAAGGGGTCGAGACCTCGGGGGACCCACGTCGTGAAAAGATCACGAAGTTGGGGGCCTGCGGGAAGAGGGGGAGGAGGAGTAGGAGGAGGAGGAGGAGGAGGAGGAGGAGGAGACGGAGGAGGCGGAGGAGGAGGAGGAGGAAGGGGGTAGGAGCAGGCAGAGGAGGAGGAGGAGGAGGAGGAGGAGGAGGAGGAGGAGGTACCAGGAGGAGCAGAAGGCAATTACGAGGAGGAGGACGTTGAAGCTTGCGGAAGGCTGCGGCAGCACGTGTCGGCGTGGGCTCGAGGGCGCCGGCGCAGACCATGAGAAAATTCGTGGGAAACTCTTCCGGCACCGTGCCCAGCGCGGTCTCCCGCGTGCAGGCACCCGGCGAGCCAGCACCTGGGCAGCAGGAGCCACCAGCACCCCTGTGCACAGAACCGCGGGCCACCGGGAGGCGCTCACGGCGCGTGTGCGCTCCATGCCGCCGCCCCCGAACATTAGGGCAGAGCCGCTCAGCCGGACGGGGGACCTGGCGGAAGGTTCCAACAATCAACCCCTCGCGGCAGAGGATCCTCCTCCCGAAGAAGAAGAGAAGACGGCACAAGTACAAACTGTTGGCGCTCCGCGCGGACTGCCTGGATCTGCGCTGGACACCCCTCCCTGGAACGCCGATGGCGCCGCCCGGGGGTGCCAGCGCGGATCCAAGGAATCCGCGCGGAGCACCAAAAGTTCATGCTCATGGCGGTTTTTCTCCTTCGATCAAGCAATCAAGCCCTCGCGGCAGAGGATCCACGCCTCGTGCCGTGGCTGCGCTCCCTGCTGGAACCGGCCGGGGGGGCTACGGCGAGCAGCTCTTGTTTTTTAGCGTCTCGCGGCGGCGGCGCCTGCGGCACGCTAGATGCTCTGCGAGCTGATATAGCGTGGGGCGGGAGGCTGGGCAGAGTTTGGGACGTTATCGCCTGGGAGCGGAGACGTGGTTGAGGAGAACAACGATCGTGTTGGGAGGAGGGGGTGGGAGGACGAAGGGTATGAGCAATAGCAGTCGGATGCAGCGAACGATACCGTCGGCCGCCTACGGGCAAGGAGATCCTCATTTCTCCCATCCCCATCCTCCCAACCCGACAATTATCTTCCTGAGTGGTCAGCGTGCCGCGCCGAGGCGTGGTGACACCAGAGCCGGTGGCGCGACACGCTGAGCAAGCGATCCTGACCGTGAACCCCCGACTCACGGGCCCCAGGCGCTCTTTGGCAGCCCAGGGGTGCCCTGGGGGCTCCCCGACTGACTCCTCTCGAGGCCCAGCCGGCGCGCAGCTCAGAAGCAAGACCTCCGGGATGCCCCGAGACGGTCCCTGTAGGTTGTCCTGGGGCTGCCTTGGGGAGCCGCTTGGGCCGGTCTGGCAGCTTTGAGGCCAGCACCATCGCCTTCTCAGACATGACAGCGCCCAAGACTGCCCGATCGGGCTCCAAGATCGCCCCAAGACGACCAACACAAAAGAAACAAGAAGGGCCCGAGAGACGGCGCCCAAGAGGGGGCCCAAAAGGGCACCAAAAAATGGCCACCGAGACCGCCAGAGGGCTCCAAGGATGACCCCAAGAGGCCCAGGACCCCCGCGGCAGAGGCAAGCTGGCCGTCCCGACGCGGCACAGCCCCACCTGCCGCTAGGAAAACAGAAGGCAACTCGAAAGCCAGGCCTCCGCCCGCGGAAGCGCCTTTCCGCGGCTGGCAGGGGGTGCCCCGCCAGGACTCGTTCGTCTGTTGTCCTCGTCCTCGCCGTCGCCGTTCGTCGTCGCCGTCGCGTCTGGCTGCCGCCCTTCTCTCTGCCAGGACCTCGCGCCCTCTCCCTCGCACCAATTCGTTACCAGCGGCCGTCCCATCCATTTTTGCTCAGGCGCGCCACACGCTGCCAGCTGTCCCACCACCGACTCCCGCTCTCTGCGCTATCCTTTACCCAAAACGCCGCACTCATTTTTACGGCAGCAGCAGCAGCAACTGGACTCTCTCCTCTAACAGCACACATCACACTACTCACTCTTACTCCCAGACGATCGCAGCACCAGCACAAGGCGACAGCGGCAACCTTAGGGGGCGCGAAGATAGTGGATCCAAGGCAGTGCATTTCTTGCCCAGAAGCGCTCGAAGTGCCACATGCACCCACCGCGGATACATCGACAACAGGCTATGCGATGCAGTGTATCAACCGCCGTGGTTCTCTAGTGGACGCACTTCATCTGACGTATACTTGTGGGGTTGCGGTAACACAAGGCTTCAAAACCTGCCGCAACTGTTTCACCCACAATGGTCAGGATCACCGCCAACTGATGGAGTCCTCTCACGCGCTTCCCTGGTGTCACCTTATTCCCACCTTGTTGGGCCTCGGGGGAAGCGACACGAAGGACCCACCATCAGTCGTCCAACCTCTCACTCCCCACTGGCCGCCTACTTCTATGATGTTCTGCCCGCTTCCCCCCCCTCATCTAACCTACACCATGACCACTCTTGTGGGGCGGGATGGGCTGGTGATCACGGGGGGGAAAGGGGACACAACTCACCGCGGGCCACCCTAGCGAAGGTCGGAACGGCCGCGGTCAGCAGAGCCGCCGGCACAGCCAACGCAGTGGTGGCCTCAGCTTCCCTACGACCTTCCCCCCCCTCCCCTCTGCCACCTTCTGCCAGACACGGTTGACTCACCTGACCCGCCTTCGCCCGCTGCAGCAGACAATGGCCACACCTCCCTCCTCATCTCGGTGGTTGCTTAACCTCTCTTACTGTCAACCTGCCACTTGCTGCAGCAGCTCGATTGGTACCAACCGTGAGGGATGGTCACGATGGTGGGGGGATGGACGTCGAAAGTCAACCGATTGGAGTAGCCAGCCAACGGCGCTGCCTCCCAGCATCGCACGCCGTATGCCTCAGCCTTGGTGCATTCAGGTTTCAACACAGTCGCTGCCTTGTGCTAACAGCTCTCTACTACAGCCGTTGTTCAATGCCCCCTGCCCGCAACCTAGTCGTGCATGGTGAGCTCTGCTATCAACGGGAATCGCTGCAGCATGTAATTTCTACCTGCAACTACCGCTGGAGACCGCCTTGCCACTCAACCCTGCCTCACATATCAACTCGCAGCCGACACAGCTCCAGCCTACTATGGGGGAAGGGTGGATCCTACACGGAGGGGGTCGGCTGGGACGTACAGCCCCACGCGGCCACCGCCGGGAAGGCGCAGACCTCCCCCATGCCACGTGGCGCCCCCCCCCCAGGCAGCCACCAGTTCCACGCTCGGGCACCCTACGCCTGCCTCGGCGGGTGAGGGTGCCCGCCGTGGGACTGTAGGCTGGCTTGGGGGGGGGGGTCCTGTGGGCTGGGGGAGAGGCCCTTGCGCCTTCCACCAGGGGAAACATTGGCCCTGGCCGCACGCCCTAGCCATCGCCGCACCGCTGTTACATACCCCTCCCCCTCCTCCTCCTCCTCCTCCTCCTCCTCCTCCTCCTCCTCCTCCTCCTCCTCCTCCTCCTCCTCCTCCTCACTCCTCCTGCTCCTACTCCTGCTCCTCCTCTCCTCCTCCTCTCCTCCTCCTCCTCCTCCTCCTCCTCCTCCTCCTCCTCCTCTCTCCTCCGTCTCTCCTCCTCCTCCTCACTCCACCTCCTCCTCCTCCTCTCCTCCTCCTCCTCCTCCTCCTCCTCCTCCTCCTCCTCCTCCTCCCCTCCTCCCCTCGCTCCTCCTCCTCCTCCTCCACCTCCTCCTCCTCCTCCTCCTCCTCCTCCTCCTCCCCCCCCTCCCCTCCCCCCTCCCCTCCCCCTCCCCCTCCCCCTCCCCCTCCCCTCCTCCCCTCTCCCCCTCCCCCACCTCCTCCTCCTCCTCCTCCTCCATCCTCCTCCTCCTCCTCCTCCTCCTCCTCCCTCCTCCTCCTCCTCCTCCCTCCTGCCTCCTCCTCCTCCTCCTCCTCCTCCACCTCCTCCTCCCCTCCACCTCCTCCTCCTCCTCTCCCCTCCTCCTCCTCCTCCTCCTCCTCTCCTCCTCCCCGCCTCCTCCTCCCTCCTCCTCCTTCCTCCTCCTCCCCTCCTCCTCCTCCTCCTCCTCCTCTCCTCCTCCTCCTCCTCCTCTCCTCCTCCTCCTCCTCCTCCTCCTCCTCCTCCTCCTCCTCCTTCCTCCTCCTCCGTCCCTCCTCCGTTTCCTCCTCCGTCTCCTCCTCCACCACCTCCTCCTCCTGCCTCCTCCTCCTCACTCCTCCTCCTCCACCTCCTCCTCCTACCTCCTCCTCCTCCTCCTCCTCTACCCTCCCGTCCTCCCCCTCCTCTTCCCCCTCCTTCTCGCCTGCTTATGAGCATTATTATGTGTGTCCTCTCCTCCTCTCTCTCTCTCTCTCTCTCTCTCTCTCTCTCAACTCTTTCACTGCGTCGCACTCCCCTTTACAGCTCATGCCGCAGCGTTCCTGCTGCCTGGCAGCCCATCTGGATCCCCCCCCATGGGCGACCGCCCCTATGGGGGGGGGCGGCAGCATCCGACGGATCCCCACGCCATCACGAACCCAGACCCCCAACGTCGTGATTTTTCACAACGTCGACACCCAGGAGGTCTGGACCCCCTCCCTGGGACCAGTTTTCCATCCTGAGTCATTCGCTGACGGCCCCGAGGTCCGGTAAGAGCGCCCGGAGGCCCAAAATATAGAAAAACCTCCCGTCGTGATTTCTTCACGACGCGAGGGGGGTTGGGAATCAAGACTCAGGTCGGGGCGCAGGGGCGCATGGAGCACGGACCCACCCGCGTGACCGGCAAAAAATGTGCGAGCAGGGCAGGAGCCCGAAGTCGCCCGGCTGGCAAAGGTCAGTGCAAATGCGGCAGATGAACTCGGCGTGCAGGTCCTGCCGGGCAGGGAGGAAGAGGAGGAGGAGGGGGAGGAGGAGGAGGAGGAGGAGGAGGAGGAGGAGGAGGAGAGGAGGAGGAGGAGGAGGAGGAGGAGGAGGAGGGAGGAGGAGGGGGAGGAGGGGATTTTTGGATTGCGCGCGCGTTGAACCTGGCGGCTGTCGCGTAAAGGTGGCGCTGCAGCTAGCAGAGGCAGTTGGCACAGACATCTCATGCGTCTGCACTAAGAGGCGAGTCTCGAATACTCTGCACGGGCACCGAAGGTAAAGTACAGCTCAGTAAACAGTTCGGGCGTAAACGCCGACTTGCAAGTCCCAGCCCCCCCCCCCCCCCCCCCCGAAAAATCCCACCGACCTCCACTAGTCATTAAACGCCAGCTTGGCTGACTTTCAAACGTGATCAGCATGAGAGAGCGTAGAGAGCAACAGAGGCGGCGGTCCTGCCAAGGTGTTCCGGCTTTCCCTGTCCGCCAGGGCTCGAGTCTCTCTTAACACAGCGTTGGGGAGGGAGGGCAAGATAGGGAGCATCTGACTCGCTGCAGTCTTCACCCTGGACGGTATCATGCTGAGCTGCACTGCCCACCCGATCCGTCCGACTGGGCCTCGTCTGCTCTTCGGTCATGCCGAGATCTCTCGACGGATTCTAGTGGCAGCTGCCAACTGTCTGAGCTGAGCAAGAACGGCGCTCTCAATCCCTCCCGACAACTCCAACCTGCAACCCCGACTCCCATCCTTATCTGCAAGGCAAATGCAAGGAAGGCTGGCGGCAGGCGGGGGCTGCGGCGCGCAGCCGCACGAGCACCAGGCTGGCGGCCGCGCGGACCGACGGACGCTCGGGGGTCTGGTGCCACACGCAACGGGTGTGTGGTTAGCGACGGACTACGCTCACCCGGCCCCCTGCCGCTGCCCCCGACGGGCCGAGGCGTGGAAACGTGCCAACGCGTCGGTAGCTGAAACACAGGGGGTCGCACCTCTGTCGAAGGTGCTGGCGGCGAGAGAGCAGGCGGGCGGCGCGGCATGCAGGCGGCGGGCGGAAAACAAGCAAGAGAGGCAGGCACATGTCTCTCTGATCCAAGCACCTCTGCCCAACCTGCCTGTCCAGATCCTCCCCCGACTGCTCATCGCGATCTCAGCGACCGCTGGTAGCTCTCGAAGTGGGCAGCTGCATTCATCGACTCAACCTCGGCGAGAGCCGCTGTGGGGAGGGGGCTTCGCGAGTTCCTTTCGGAGCGCCCACTATGGCCCCCTCCCCTCACGGATCGACCCTCGGTTCGGCCGACATGGCTGAACTCGAGCTGGCGACAGCTGCGCGAGACGGCTGCTGTCAGTTACATCTGATACACTCTGTCTGAAAACTCTGCTTCTTGAGTGGCCAGGGCTGACAAAGATGTCTGACCGAACTTACTGCTGACGTGGCTAGCTGTAACCTCCTCCAACCACCGAAACCTCCTGCAACCTCCTCCGACTCCTCCACTGATCTAGTCTTGCACTTGATCGAACAGCCCTTCTCCAAAGTTAGGCCGGAACGTCCAAGGTGCAACTCTCTGGGCATGTTTGAGCTTCCTGCGCATTCTTGCCTGCGCACGGTAACCTGCGATCCGGGCCCGAAGCTCGGCACTTAGTCCGACTGGCTGAGGCGGGGGGGGAGGGGCAACAGAGCTGGGGGGAGGATCGCGCGGCGGCTCCTCGTCTTCACGCTGGGGCACTCTGGTGCCCCCTAAGAAAGCAAACGCTTCAACCTATTTCTTGTTCTTCGTCGGCCTCCTGTGGCCCAGGAGCCCGAGGAACGGAAACTGGATCAAACACCATTCCTGTCCCAGGCTCGGGCACGGGCGAACCTGGCCTGGGCTCGGGCGGAAAAATCTGCCACGCCCTGGGTCTGCACGGGTCCGACCAGAACGTGATGCAACAAAATCGGGCGCCCAAGACTCGTCGGTCCCGAGGTATGGGGTCCACTCTACAAAGAGAGCCCTCAGTGACCCACGAAGCTCCTCCTCTTCCTCCCCCATGTCCTCTGGCCACACGTCATCGTCACACGACGTGCGCGTCTGGTTGACTGCATCCGTGATACCGTCGGCCAGTACTTGACATAGTCTTTTTTCTTGGCAGTCCGCCACTCACCCCGAGCCCTGTCGAACCCCATGAGTACCTCGTGAGCCCCACGTCCGCGTGAACAACGTCCTCGTCCAAGCGTCTCTAGCAGTCGTTCGTGCAGTGTGCACACGCGCAGTGCTAGTATACGTGTGGGGGCCCTGGCAACCTGTCCGTGTTCGCATTGATCAAAGTCGGTGACTGATGCTGCGGGTGACGCCATGATCGCTCTAAGTGGCGGACAAAAGAACGAGCTAACTGCTTCCTGTCTCCACCCTGCTGGCATGGGATGTTCCAACCAGCAGCCCGCCCCGACAGTCATATGCACTGCGAACAGCTCAATCGTGGCGCCTAACAACTCGCCGCCGACACGTAGCTGCTCCATCTGACGCGGTGTGACTGCCAAGAGTCCCCAGAAATCGTCGCGAGTTCGCTGCGGCGGGGGGGGGGCGCATCTGGGGCCCAACGAATGGCGGCCCAGGTCTCGCACGGGGGTCCCCCTCCAGATAATACCACTCGTCCTGCTCGGAAATGTTCCTTCCAAACCACGAGGGATGCTCGACGCATCACGTTACCTAGGACTGGGTCGATGGCGATGTCGATCGATAAAACCGTGATTGGAAAGTCGGTATTGTACTGGGCCCATTCCAGACTGGCCTGAATGTTTCCTGGCCGTCGTCGCCCACAATACAGGTTGAGAACGTAGTATTCTGCCCGTCGGATCGCTCGTGGCAAACTCTGCGCGGCCATGCCCTCATACTGCTCGGTCAAACAAATTATGGTAGGGTACCGTTCGGACTGGGCAGGCGGGCATGGCTCTGGGGCCACCTCCTCGCCATGACTATCGGTAGTAGGGGGGGAGAAGGAACGCGGCACAAGCGGCTGGCGTCAGGTACGGATCGGTTTCCCACAAGACGTGTCTGGCATACTCCTGTGGTACTAGCTTACCTATGTCGGTAGCCAATTGCGTGAGTGGGCCAACGCACGACGTGTCGGCACAATCGCATGACGTCGTGGTATACAGACGTGATTTGTGTGTGTCCGGTGTGCTGAACACGATGTGTAGCGCTGTGTAGATGGTATGCAGGGCTGTCCATGCAGGGTTTGCCAGCGAGCATCTAGGGGAATCCAACGAGAGATGGTCCACTAAGTGCGGTCGGGCATTAAACTTCAGCAAGCATATCGTACACGCACCGTCGTGCCCTGCGCTGCCTTTCGCCAGTGTCGACAGTTGTCGATGCACGCGTGCTACATGCGTGCGCAGCGCCCGATGTCTCGCAAACTCTTGCCCGCACCATGGGCACTCCATGGCGGTCATGTCTGCTGGCGGCGGCGGCGGCACAAGGAGTCCTCTGTCATCAGTGTACACACGAGCGGGCACACCTGCCGCATGCACCTCTGCAAAAAAAACGTTCCTCCAAGTTGCGTGCTAGCGTGATCCTGGACTGGTACTGCGCATGCGCATGCACTCCGATACGTATGATACGCTTCCAGGCGGGAAGACTGCGCGCCGTATGAGGCATTCCCAAACATGTAGTTCAGTTCCCGGGGGGGGGGGGGCAGGTCCTGGCACTGTTTGACCGCTGTCCTCAGCCAGCTTAGATCCTGCAACCATTGCCCTAGTGTAGTGCGCTGTCGTGCTTGTGCGTCTGGTGCTGCTAACCATTCGGCCGTCACATCTGCAAACGCCAGCTCGGGTCCGGCATGGCATAGTGAGCCCAACAGACGAAGCCGCGAGGCACGTAGTAGGATGGTCGGGCAGGTCGCCGTAAGCGCGCAAGTACCAGATCGTCGGAGACCTGGGAGGTATTCTCCTGGAAACGTACGCGCGCTGCAGCACGGTATACTTTCATGGTCTCGATGTGGGCTAGCTTGGCTTCTGATGGTTTGACCGTTGGCCATGCACCGCCGTTATATTGTCTACCAGACATCACGAGGCTGTCGGCCAGAATAAGCCTGCGTCGTAGAACCTGTAGCGACGACACTGTGGGAGAGGCACGGTACCTAATCTCAGGCGCCATCGCAGCACATGCGTCGAACACCGAGCCAGGGCGAATGCAATTGTGTACTATGGGCGCGCACAGAGGCCCTAGAATGTCCGCTTCGCCACGCATGTACCCACCATGCTCGTGCCATGCTGCATGCCGCGCGCGCTTCGCCCCATGTCCGCGCCACGTGATCAAGGCCGCCGTCGCGGAGGGCCCGACGTTGAGTCGGCGTCCCCGCCGTGCAAAGGCGTCCGACACAAGCACAAGTGCACGACTGAGAGCTTCATGTATCTGTGCCGCTGGCATGATGAGTATTACTGCCCCGTCGTCGGCGTATGATAGGTCGACCAGTGGGTGCTCTGCTGGCGGCGGTTCCGCGTCGGGGTTGGCCACCTGGGGCCCGAATGACTTGAGTTGTTCGGGCTTGGGGGGCTGATGCGGGGCCCCGTCGGAAAGCAACTTCGCACGAACCTCCTGCATACAGTCGGCCATTTGACTTTCGAAATGGACATCTGCTATGGGGTTGCCCTGGAAAGAATGACCTCTGAGGCAACGATGCTTGTCCTGAGCCCTCGCAGACAATCCAGGGAGCCTGATGACACTGTTCCACCTGAGCGACCGGGTGGGGGTCGAGCTGCGAGCGTGAAAGGGCGTCGGAGCGTTGGCGCAGCCTTTCGGCGAGTTGGCGCATGGCGGCCGGGGGCAAACCTACGGCCCTCACGAGCGTAGCAATAATCAGATCGTCGAGGTCGGTTTCGCGGTGGGCACGCACCACTAGCTCCCGAAAGGCCCAATAAAAGGCCTGTACGACGCCCATGGAAAGTGCCCCGAATGACAGCTGTCTAAGCCTGGCCAGGGATTGGGAGACCCGAAGCACCAGGGATGCATGAGTCGTTCCTCGACCTGGCAGCCCGCCGAACT